CGGTGGGGAGGGACAACCCCGAGTCACAGAGCCAGGGAATGGTTTGGGTGGGAAGAGACTTTGACAACCACCCAGTGCCACCCCCTGCCATGGGCAGGGACACCTTCCACTGGCCCAGGTTGCTCCAAGCCCCGTCCAACCTGGCCTTGGACATTTCCAGGGATCCAGGGGCAGCCACAGCTTCTCTGGCCAACCTGTGCCAGGGCCTGCCCACCCTCCCAGCCACGAATTCCTTCCTAACATCTAATCTAAACTTGCCCTCCTTCTGCTTAAAGCCAGTTTTCCCTTGTCCTATCACTACATACTCTTGTCCAAAGTTCCTCTCCAGCCTCCTTGTAAACCCTCCTGAGGTACTGGAAGGGGCTCTAAGTTCTCCATGGAGTCTTCTCCAGGCTGACCAGCCCCGACTCCCTCATCCTGTCATGCCCTTCTTCCCACCCTGAATGAATATTTTAAGTGTTTTGAGCCTTGCTTTAAAACAGCAGTGCACTGCTAGTTCACCCACATTCACCTTTTACATGTTTATTTACATCCATTCCAGAAAGGCACCTGACTTTTTTCAAATACCTCAATAAATGAAAGTTCCTTTTTTTTTTTTTTTTTTCCTCTGTCATTTGTTGAAGTACTTATTTGGAATCTTTGATGGAGATAATTTCAGCGTTCAGCCTAAGGCTTACAAACCTTTAGTGCCTGGCATTTTTCTCGCAGGAGAAATGAGAGCTTTGTGAGTTTCTTTGTAGAATCAAGAAACGGAGTGTTAAAAAAATGAAATATGGACCGTTTTTCTGCTGATCAAATCACATTCTACCTATTTTAAAAAAACATCCCTAGTCATTTAATTTCCCAGAGGATGGAGGAGAGGTCTGTGGCCGGAAACTTGAAGCTAGGGCTCAGTGTTCTCTCCCAGCTTTTTATTAAGTCCAAGTCTGTGCCATTTGTTTGCCTTTCGATTGGGAATCTCAGCAGCAATGACCTAAAACAGCTCCAGGGCTGCCACTTCCTCAGTTTATTCCTGTCACAGGAATGTTGTTTTTCCCACAGGATGGGTACATCGACTTCATGGAATACGTGGCTGCCCTCAGCCTCGTCCTTCGAGGGAAGATGGAGCAGAAGCTGCGCTGGTATTTCAAGCTCTACGACGTCGATGGCAACGGCTGCATCGACCGCTACGAGCTGCTCAACATCATTAAGGTGAATCTCCGGGGGAGGGGGGGCTGTGATCTTTCCTCTCTCCTCAAAGAGAAAATCACACTTTTCTGCTCCCCGTGTGGGGGAGATCTTTAACACCCTTCTTTCTTTGAGCAGGATTCCCTTTCCGAGGTTTCAGACTCCCAACTCTCAGTTGCCAGTGGGTCCTTCCTACGCCCTTTTATCCAGGAGAAGTTGGGAGAGTTACTCTCAGTTTGGTTTTTTTTTTTTTTTGAACCAGCTTCTAAATATCAATGCAAAAACAAAACAAAACAAAACAAAACAAAACAAAACAAAACCCAAACAACAACAAAAAAACCAAAACAACAAAACAAAAAAAAAACCCAACCCAAACCAACCAACCAAACAAAAAAAAACACAAAAAAAAACCCCCAAAAACCATATCTGACGCTGGCAAACAGCTTGGAGGGGAATGGTTGTGAATGGAAAGGATTGTATGTAAATAGCTACTCTGGACAGGGTTGGAACCACTGTTATTGAGATCACTGTGAATATCTCAGAATTAATTCTGCTGCAAGTTCAAGATTATTTTGGAGGCAGCGAGAAACTACCAAGATGCAGGAAAGATTCAAATAAATGACAGACCCCAAATAAATTCCATTTCTGTCAGGGAATTAGTGCAATAAAGATTTGAAGCCTGAGCTGCCCACAAATAAAAACACTAAGATGCTGCTAAGACATTCTTACCTGGATATGCATTTTAGTGCTGGCTATCAAAGAGACCAAACCAAAATCAATGACTAATAATTTACAGCCTCCAACTAACAGCTTGGGACAGAAATACTCAGACCTACAGAGCTCTTAAGAAACAATTAGGCAACAATTGGTGGCAAGCAATTTACTGCCCTTTGGATTTCGTGGGTGCAGTTCAGTGCCTTTTTTTTGGCAGACTCGGGAAGTTGCTGAGGTGATTCTTAATTTTAGTAAAATAGGATTTGGAAAAGAATGAAGAAAACTGCGAAATATTAAAATTAGAAAATGAACAGTCTCAGGAATCAAAGGCTCTGGGATCACTTGTTTCATTGACAGCCTTAAACAAAGGAGATAATTAGGCATGGAAAGCAAACCCTGTTCTATGCAGTTATAAAAGAAGAATTGTAGCAAGCAGCAGTGGGTAATTCTTTACCTTTCTCGAGCTGAAAATGAATTTCCCTGGGTTGTGCTGCTCCAGAACCATCCTCCCTTTGCACTGTGAAGTTCTGATGATCTCTGTTGGGTTTTCCCGTGATGCTGATCATTTGTACGGGGAAAGGGCCAGGCATGACTGACTTATTCTGGATCCCTGCTGACCTGCTGCAGTGGGATCATCGCTCTTTTCACTCCCAGAGCCATCAGGCAGGTTCTTATTCCTGCTCTTTTCATTTTAGGCCATTCGAGCCATTAACGGTGGCGACCACGAAACCAGCGCAGAAGATTTCACCAACCGAGTCTTTGACAGGATTGATGTGAACGGAGATGGTGAGATTCCTGCCCTTGTCACCCAGCTCAGATAGCCTCTGTCCTGCAGAGAAACACCTTCCTTTCTTGATTGAACTTTATGCCTCTTCATTTCAGATTTTTTTTATATGCATTCTCTGTGAATCAAAAGGCATTTTTCTCCTTGCATCAGACATCATCAGCATGTCCAGATTTGTTCCCTGCACTGAGTGCCAGCTGTGTTCTTTCTGTCCACATGAGTTTGGCACTGGGGTTTTGGAGTGGGGGTTTTGTTTAGTTTCCTTTTTTGTGTGTTGGTGACAGTCAGAAGTGGGAAACATCAGCAAGTGGCCCCAGCTTTTCCTACGTATTTCAGGAAGGAAAGGAAGAGCTGGAATTTAATTTAACTCCTTCCATCACTTCCTTTATCCATGAAAAACCAGCAAGTATAGGGCAGATTAGGGCTAGGATAGGTTGGGCCAAAAAGGAGGTGGATAATTCAGCTTTACTCACAGGATGATAGATTACTGCGCTCCTTTCCCTGTCAAAGGTGGGTTCTGATGCCAACTTATTACACCTTTTTGTTTGTGCCCGCCACAGGTGAGCTTTCCCTGGAGGAATTCGTGGAGGGGGCGAGGAAGGACGAGGAGTTCATGCAGGTTATGATGAAAAGCTTGGACCTGTCTCACATCGTGGCCATGATCAACAACCGCCGGCACAGCATTTAAATCAAGCTGGGAGGGGGGGGGGAGAGAAAAATGCTGTGCCCGTGGACAGGAGGGCACAGAAACACAAGGAAGGAGAGAGACACCCTTTTTTTTTTTTGAAAACCCAATTTCCATAAAGGTGCAGGTGGGAGCAGAAAGACAGCTGCTGTGTTTGTATCTGAGTGTTTGTTCCTGCACAAAGACTGAAGCTCAGCCACGCAAACGCAGGGCAGGGTCAACAAACTCTGCTTTGACTCGTGTCAGTGTTTTGACTTGACTTCCTAAAAAAAAAAAAAATCTGAAGACCAAACTCCGGGGCCCAAATTTCCTCCTTGTTCTGTGTCCCAGACTGTTCGCTTTGCAAGGGACTGAAGGTCATGCCGAGTTTGGGAAGAGCACCAGAAGAGCTGGATGGTGGAGTGTGGAGGATTTCTGATACGCACAAAGGAAGAGCTTCAAACAGTTATCAGTGTGACTTGTGCTGCTCTTGCAATTCCATTGGTTCATCAACACCAGCATGGTTGTCCATGCTAGATGTGCTTGTGTGTTTGGTAGTTTCTAGTCATGAGATCACAGGAAGTATTTTAGTCATAAGATCACGGGAAGTGGAAGGAAAACCAGCCTGACAGTGGCAAATCTGTCGGATGTTTGAGCTTTTCTGTGCTCAAAGAACTCCACCAAACCAGTCAGTAGTCTGGGGCAGCTCCTCAGAGAAAAGGTGCTGCTCGGTTTCCCAAAGCATTACTTGAGAAATCAAATCATTTACACACTCCTTGTCCTGCTTATTCTCCTCTTGTCCAACTGAACCCCTGGAAAGTGTTCAAGGCCGGGCTGAGCGAGGCTTGAGCAACCTGAAGCAGGTGAGTGGCATCCCTGCCATCAGATAAGCTCATCATCAGAAGCTCCTTTGACTTTGGAGAGAGAACCAGAGGGAAAGAAGAAGGGCAGGGAAAGTTCAGCCGAGTGCCTGTGCCGTGGCTGGAACCTTTTTTTTTACCTGTGCAGGAGGAAGAACTTGCAGACTTTGCAGTGGACTTGCTGATATTTAAGCTTGGTTGATGTCCATATGTTGGGTTTGCATGGCCATGTTTTGGCTGGGGAGGGGAAGGGGGGCAGATACAGGAGTGGCTTCTGTGAGAAGCTGCCAGAAGTTTTCCCCCTGTTCTGCAGAGCCAAGGCCAGCTGTCCCCAGGATGGACCCACCAGCAGAGATGGCACTGACACCCTGGGGATGAGGTATTTCAGGAGGAAAAAAGTTATTTGGCAGCCAGAGAAGAGAGGAGTGAGAAGATGGGAGAGGAACAAAAATCAGGGAAGAAGGAAGGGGAGGAGATGCTGTCAAATGTGCTGGGGCTGAGATTCCCTGGTGAAGCAGTAGGTTGTCCTCCTGCAGCCCGTGGAGGTCCCACAGAGGAGCAGAAATCCACCTGCAGCCCGTGGAAGAGCCCCACGTTGGAGCAGGTAGATGCTGAGGGAGGCTGGGATCCAGTGGTTGGACCACACTGGAGAAGGGGCCTGGCAGGGTCTGTGGAGAGAAACACGTGCTGGAAAGGTTCCTGAAGGACTGATAGCCTGGAAGGGCCCCCACTCACTGGAGCAGTTCCTGAAGAACAGGAGAGAGAGAGAATCAGGATAAAGTTAAGCCTGGGAAGGAGGAAGAGGAGGTGGTGGTGGTGGTGGTGGTGGGAAGATGTTTTTAAGCTTTGTTTTGCTTCTCGTTATCCTCATGCGGTTTTGATTGGTAATAAATTCAATTAATTTCTCCGAGCCGGGTCTGTTGGGTCTGTGATGGTGTCGTGGTTTTTTGCCAGGTGGGCCCCACATCCCAGATCCCACTGGCATGTGTGGTCTTGGAGCTCTTGTGAGGAATCACAGCCAGGTGATTGGAAAAATTGTTCCGTTCCCCAGAGGATCGTTGTGAGAGGATGTGCTTGGGCTCTGCTGCTCCTTTGGACTGAGGAAGGCAGAGTTTTTTTTTCCCCAAGACTCTGTTGAACCTGTCCTGGACTTAAGTCCTGAGTTTCCTGCAGTTCTGTGGGTCATTTACATGTAAAACTTCATTTTAACCATCACCCAACACGCAAGAACCTCCCCCTCTTTTTAGCTCTCAGGAACAGGAAGAGTTTTTGTCAGTGGATCTGATTTATTAAAGGAATCACCAAGAAGTTGCAGCTGCCAGCAGTGCTGCAGCAAGTGTTGCCACGTGCACTGTGTGGAATCTTCTTGATGTGCATGAAGGAGGAGGGCACACACACACAGCACACCCTCAAAAATAATCCTGAATATTTGTAAGTGGAGTTTAATTTATTATTAAACTGGCATGAAAGAAAACTGGTTCTCCCTTGGCTGTTACTGCTGCTGCTGAAACAATTCTCAGCTGAGATGGCAGCGATGACGTTTGTAACAGATAAAAGAGCCCACGTTGTGCTATCACCACACCGAGTTGCAGATGTGGGGTTTAATTTCAATGTTCCAGTTCTTCTGTAACTCAGTGATTTCCCTGGCTTTTGAGTGCTTCGAGAGACCATTTCCACTGTATCCTTTGTCAGGATCTGGGAAAAGGGAGAGGAGAAAGGGGGAGAGGAGATGGAACACCCCCCGCAGTTTACATCGGGTGGCCAGAGAGGAGAATTGGAGGCACAAAAGGCGACGATGGCGAGTCGAGATAAGATCAATACACTGGAAACAGCAATGAGGTAAGAAAATAAACAGTCACAGCAACGATTTTAATGACAAAAGCGGACAAAAGGGAGGGTGATCCACGTGCTAAATGCTCGGTGAGCCTGACCTGCCGTGACTGCAGTCGCTGGCACCTGAGCCCAACCCGAAGCCAGGGACAGGTCCCTTCTGTCCCACCCCTGGCAAACACCCCAGGGGGGCTCAGAAACACCGAGCTTGTGCCCGAAACTGGGACAGGGAGAGAGGGTTTTTTTTTGACCTACTCGGCTTTCTTTGTACGGCCAAGATTTAAAAAAAAAAACAAAAAACAAAAAACAAAAGCGTCCTATGAAGGTATCTTGGAGCTGTTCCCTTCGACAGAAAAATCAGGAGGGCGGTTTGGAATCAGCACGTGAGGGTTTGCAAACATCTCCACGGATGGGAACTCCTCTGGTGTAGGGTGCGGGTTTGGAGTTAAAGGGTTTTAGGATGAGGGAATATTGGGGGTTTTAGTCAGGGGTTTAGGATTAGAGGTCAAAGAGCAGGCGAAGTTGCATCTGCATCATCATCCTATTATTTTGCCATCCCTCTGTTCAGCTCCAGATCCCTTTCTTTCCCCCTTCTTCCCTCTCCCTGCCCCGTGGATGTTTTTAATTTCTCCATCTCCCTATTTTTCCATCCCTACCTCTCTGTCCTGGAGTCCCTCGGGAATTTTTCTTTCTGTGGCTCTCTTTGTCCTGCCAGTGCTTGTTTTTATTCTTAGGAGAAAGTCGTCAAGAACTGCGAGGGGACTGGGACTGGACACGGGAGGGGACTGGAGAG